GAAGCGGTCGGCCACTTGAACCTTAGAAGTAATAAACTAAGTTTCAAGAGATTTATGTAACACGCTCTCTAACAAAATGGAATGTCAATTTCAATATGCTTCGTCGTACCATGGAAGACATACTTTGCTAAGGATGGGTTACTTATACATTGCAACACCATATGTATTCCCTCCTATGAGACTCCAGGTTCCCTAAGTAAGAATTGTACCCATATAATTTCAGATCTAACATTTCAGTTGACGAAACAGAGACAACCTCGAAGCACAATGATGACAGAGGTATAACAAAGTGCGGAGACCTTGTTACAATTTCTAGGATCATGAGGTGGACATGCCGGAGCAGTGGTGAAGGAGAGTTTGCCAAAATAATGTAGGGCTTAGAAAGCAGGTGTGGGTGAGAGGGGATATCCAATTTGAGCTCGGGCTCATCTGCACTCGGTGAACAGTAAACTCAAAACAAATACTAAAAATTTAAAAAGAGATGATTTTTTTGCATCTAAAATGATTGAGTGCGTGAGGTGCGTGCCAAATTTCAAATCATTTGGACATCTCAGTAGCTCTCAGCGAAAAAACAAGTCGGGTCCGAACAGTGCATAAACAATAATCTTTTTAACAAACCTCGAATTTGTCTTTTTTGCTAAGAGCGACTCAGACATCCAAATGCTCTGAAATTTAGCACGGACATCAAGCACATGGTCATCTTTCTCCGCATTTTTTTTAATGTTTTTTTATTCACTCTGGGCTCATGTGCCTTGGAGCTAAAACGCTGCTCTCTCGGTGAGAGGCCATTTACTGGAGTTAAGAGGGTTTGAAGATACAGATTTATGGTGCATAGAAACAAACTGACTAGAGAATATAAATATGTAGGAAAATCATCTTAAAGTATGGTAGTATTCATAAAAACTTGAGAAATTGACGTGACAATTCAATGATAATTGAGCTCGAGTAAAATTCAAACATAATATTACATCCGTCCAAAAATTAGTGTCTTAGATTTGTTTAGATACAAATGCATTTAACACTAAAACATGACTAGATATGACAAATCTAAGACAATAATTTTAGGACAGAGGGAGTACATTTTTGTGGTGAGATATTGGTCGGACAATAAGTCAAACATAAACAAAACTTTCAGACCTTTCATGATTGATCAATTTCGATACTTTAGGGATAAAATGTGCGACAAGCGTATTCATACGGGTGGGTGTTTGTACGTGTCTGTGAGGGTCCGCGTCCATTTTGCGTTCCTAAAAAAACACAATTCTATTAAAAAAACTAATCTACCGGCGTCAAACCTAAAAATATAGAACCTTGTACCTTCCGTTTCTAAATATAAGTCTTTTTAGATATTCCAACAAATGACTACATACAGAGCAAAATGAGTGAATCTACACTCTAAAATATGTCTACATACATTTGTAAGTTATAGTCCATTTGAAATGTCTAAAAAGACTTATATTTAGAAACGGAGGAAGTAGTATGTATCAACATTTGCACTTATCATTCTCGACAGACCAACAAACACGACGAGAAAAGTGCAATTAACAAACAGCGACACGAAGTTAACTAGCTTGTGAAGACAGATCTTAGGAACGGCAAGTGGAGCATCACCTCTCTGAACAGAGTGTGCCAGCAATTGACATGTCTCAGATGTCTATTGTACCATTAGCAACGGAGCGCGTAACAAGATGAGGCAAATGAAACTAACGAAACGACCCATTAGACGAAATTAACTACTCTACGACGTTTCAAGGCCCTGCCTTTCTTTCTGAGGAAACAACATTTACCCACCACGTCGTCCAGGAGCACGAGGCCGATCGGAGCCGAAGAGGAACCCAGCATCAGGAGGGAGAAGCGGACGAAGCTCCTGAACCCCGGCACCACGGCGCCGCCCGTCGAGACGTACACGAGCACAGCCGCCGAGACGGCCGCGAGGAGCAGGCCGGGGAGGAGGTGCGCGCGGCTCATGGCGGAGGCGGCCGCCCGGACCACGAAGAGCAGCCCGACGAGCCAGATGAGCGCCCACTGCTGCTCCGAGAAGGACTCGAGGCTGGCCACGAGCGCATCAAGCACCGCGCTGACAGCGGCGCGCTCGAGCCTCTGGTCTTCCGTGGGCGCGGGGAGGGTCCGGAGCTCGGCCTCCAAGCGCAGGCCTTGCAAGAGACAGACGGCTGCCTGCAAGGCGAGGACGTTGTTCCGCCGGAGGTCTGCAAAGGCGCGGTGGAGGAGGGTGTCGGCCAGGTCGGGGTTGTCGAGGAGGAGGGGCAGGTTGTCGAGCACCGCCGGCACCAGCGGGTTCTCCATCGGCGTTGGGGCGGGCGGCGCCGTGGGGTTTTCAGGCGTGGCGTGCCTGGGCTCGGCTGGGGTTTTTGGACTGGAAAGGGGAAAGTGGATGGTGGGCAGTGGGGCCGAGGTGTCACGCCTTCACAGTGCTCTGCTCGGCTCGACTTGTGAAGGAAGTTGATCAGGACCCCAAACGGTGATGCCATCAAAGGGTCTTCCTAAACGGCCTTGCTCTGCCAAGTGAAGTTCCTTGCGAGGAGGTCTAGTTCTAAAGCAAAGAAACCGAAATTTTCCCAGCCGTAGGCTTCTTATGGTGAGTAGGGAGAGTTGATTTTATTTTAATTTTGAGAAAGGTGAAAGTTGATTTTTTTATTAAAAAATTGCGGGGGAGATGAAAGTTGATTTGATCCCAAGCAGTTCTGGATAATACTCTTGTGAGTCTCTGATCGGCACATCAATGACTGTGTGGAGTATGGAAGCTGAGGGGAGATGTTTAGTGAAAGAGGCTTAATTTTCCACAATGTTACACAGAAGAGTGGTTACTACTTGAAACCAGATACATGCGCCCCCATAACACGAAAGACTAAATTGGATAATTCCAGTCGGTAGATGTAAGCCAACAAGAACTCCAGCATTACAAAAGGCAGCTCTTATGCAGGCAGACACTTGCAAACCAAACTGAACTACTTGCATTTAGTGAAGTTCGGACGGGGAGTAGGGACTAGTTTCAGGATTCAGAAAACTGAACTACTGTACTTGTGTTCGATTCTTCACTTAAATCATGATGCCATTTACGATCCTACGACTCAGGGTGAAGATGAGGTGCAAGCAAGCCAGGATCAACATGGGACATACCATTTCACTTGTTGTCAGTATTAGTGTTTATCATCATGTAACTCAGCTTAACGGGACTTGTCTCTTACTATTGTTAACCGTCCTGAGCCTATAAGCTACCCCCCCGGGGAATAAGGAGGTATATATGGAACCTTTGGTTCTTTTAGTTGTATTTTCTGTATTATTAGTAAAAAAAGGTATAGTTTATAATAAAAATTCATCAGTGGTCGAGGGTTCTGCAAATCGGGCGAAGATGTCGTCATATCCATCTCCGGATCTGACAACTAGCCCCATGACGATCCGTACCAAGTGCCCCATCCAAGGTTTAAAATTTCATTGAAATTTTGAGAAATTTTGAATTATTTGACTGTTTTTGGGCGGGGCAGATATTTTACGTTTTTTCACTCAAAAAAATTGGTACTTTCAAACTTGCATGCTAAAAGAAACACTTGGATCTGTTCTCCTAGTCATTAGGTCTAGAGTTTGATTCATGGGACACTCGCATCTTGACTATTTTGCAAAGAATAAACTTTTTGTCAAAAAAATACTACATCCGTCTCAAAATATAAGTCAGCCTACAAAAATATCTTATATCTTGAGGCGGAGGTAGTATAACCTAACCAAAATTCAAACCTGGCCTAATTGCTAGCTGAATAATGGATTAATCATAAGGATGGATAGTTGCCATGTCCACGGCTGTGTATCTTTAATCATGTTTTTAAAATGTGAATTCATTCAAAGTCAAAAAAATCATTGATTTGTTCAAAATAATTTTGAATTTTTGACTACTTAGAGGTTCATTGATATTTTGCCCTTTCGAAATTCTAAACCTTGGCTCCATCCACCACACCATGAGATCTGCAATGTTGTCATGTGCATCCTTTGGGCCCCATGAACGTGGAAGCTCAGGTCCTCCTGCTGGGCACCCAAAAGCACGGGCATGATGTCGGCGGCGCAATTCATCACCCTACGGATATTACAGATCCGCCTTTGCCACGGAGCTCGGTGAGCGTTTCGCGAAAGAGAGCGTCGATAAGGCAACTGCAGGTGCGTTAAGACTTTATATGATGAAGATATTGAGGTCGACGTTGATGATGTGGTTGACGCGGTTCAACAAGTCCGCCTCCTCCTTGCCTTGGGTTTACCAAAGTACCTCTACAATTTCTTCAAGCTCAAGGTTACCAAATAACTTCATTTCGAGTTCGGCGATGATGGTGGTGGTGGCCTTGGAATTCAATGTTTCCAAGCACATGTTTGGGATTTGGAATAATGAATTCGGGGATTTAAGCATTTTAAATAGGATACGAAGAAAATATATGCACCCAAGTAGTGTCAATAGAAGCCACCAACAAACTGAAGCACAATCCGAGAAGCGGTATAACAAAGCCCAAAAAGATAGGATTCACTATTCACAACATATAGCCAATATAACAATCAACTTGATGTAAATTATGGAAGACGACCCAGAATATAAGGGATGTGAAATATTAATATTTAATGAAATGTTTGGGATTGGTTCTATCATGGGTACCAAAATATAGACATTTCGGCTAAAACAAAATAAGTAACACGTGAGTTCAAGTTAAATTGAACACGATTCAAATCCCCGCAAGACATTGCTTGAATTCCACTTAAATTTAAACGGAAATTTATGCTTTTTTGTCCATAATCGAAATTTCGGCAACTTTATGATGGGCGACCCACCCCCAACACCACCAAACAAAAGAAAATTCCCAACCCCCAAAAACCTCGAATGGTGTGTGTCAGCATTCAGCAATTACCATGTCTCAGATCTGTATCACCAACAGAGCAAACAACATGACAAGGGAAGTGGAATTAACGGGCATCGATTGTACGAAGTGAGGTACGCTTCTGGAGCCACATTACCCTCCACGACCACGCCCAGAAGCGAAGAGGAAACCCAGCACCAAGACGGAGAACCTGACGAAGGTCCTGAACACGGGCGCCACCGCCGCCGACGCGGCCGCGAGGAGCACGCCGGGGACGAGGTGCGAGCGGCTCCTGGTGTAGGCGGCCGCCCGGAGGACGAGGAGCACTTGGACGGCCTGGGTGAGATGCCGCTGCTGGCGCAGGAGGGCGTGGAATCTGGCCTCGTTCGCCGCGAGCAGCTCCTCCGTGGCCACGGGGAGGGCCAGGCGCATTCCCTCCAACTCCAAGGCCAGGCCCTGGATTTGCTCGAGCTGGGCCGCCACCTCGCCGAGGCGGGCTTCGGTCCGGTCGATCTCGGCATGGACGAGGTCGAGGAGGCTCTGGGCGAGGTCGACGTCGTCGGCGAGGAGAGGCAGGCCTCTGATCACCATCTCCAGCAGCGGGTTCTCCATTGGGGCTGGGTTGGGACTTGCTTGGGGCGTGGCGAGGGAGGGTTTTTGACTGGAAAGGGGAAAGTGGGTGGGGATGGGGATCGTAGTGGGGCCCAGGAGGTGTCGCGACATTCAGAAATCAGAACGTTGCCCGCCTGCCCGGGGCGGATCCGGCTTGCCAGCTCCTTCCCCATGCTCCCATCCGTGCTCCCACTTTATCCTATGATTGTCTTTTTTCCTCTTTTCTTTCTAATCTAATCATCTCCTCCTCTGATTTTAAGGGGATGGGGCCAGACCTTATCTTCTTTCAATCAAATCAAGCCACGTACGCGGGAGCACGGATGGGCACACGCCGGTGGAGCAGGCAAGTCTCGTCCGCCCGGGGCTGGATCAGAACTTGCGCTTGAAGTTGTGTACTGGCTAGACAAACAATGAAACCAATAGATTTTTGGAAACATTTAAATTTAACATTTTTAAATTGGTATCATGGAAGCATACAAGTGATGGTATTAGCTGATATTCTCCCCAATGGCACCAATGCAACTACTCCCTCCGTAAACTAATATAAGAGCATTTACTCTAAACGCTCTTATATTAATTTACGGAGGGAGTGCTCCTGAATTAGTTTTTCCAGAAGAACCAAGCTTTGTTACTCATAGTTCACATCCTAAGGGGGATACAACTAAGATCGTGGAGTTGGCCAAAGCATACATGGTTCCCTGGATTTAACGAATGAGAAAACTTAACTAGTGAATGAGTTTTGATATTCAATGTTGACCCTCGAAACATAAAAGACAATTAAAATACAAAGCTCAAAGTTTGATTTCAAACATGATCGCCCGTTGCAGCCCTTCGGTATATCATTAGCAACATGTTACAAATCAGTGGCCACCATAAAATTGTGAAGAAGGAGATTGTCCGCTAGGGAAAGAGCTTCCGTACAAGCAATGGCTTCGAGCAATGGCTTCTCTAAAATTTTAGATTAGGCTTTTAGAATAAGCTAGGGAGGGGGCAACTTATTCTCACAGCCAACCATAAGCCCCAAAAGAACTAGCCTCTACTCCATGGCTTCACCTGCTCCTCCTCGCCATCAGTGAGGTCCATCTCGAGTTGGTCGAATAGCTCATCGACCTCGGTGTCCCTCTTGTGATAATCCTCCTTCTATTGCAATTTCTTATGGCGTGCCTCCTCCTAGGAGAATGCAATGTTCTCACCTAGCAGTCCTGATTGGCCACTGAAAGGATCAAGATGGACCTAGAGGGGGGGTGAATAGGTACAGCTACAAATTTTAATTATTACTCAGCAATTTAGGCAATAATGCGGAATATGAAAGTGAGCCTAACAATTGCAAGTGATGCTAAGAGCTAAGCAAGATAAACAAGTAACACAAGTATGTAAGTAAGCAAACACAATATGATATAAGTAAGTGCTAAGAGCTAAGTAACCACAAGTAGAGCGTTAGGGTTAGGAACAACCGCAACTCCGGGAGACGAGGATGTATGTCGATGTTCACTTCCTTGGAGGGAAGCTACATCACCGTTAGAGAGGTGGATGTTACCACGAAGGCGCACCAACGCCACGAAGGCTCACCCTATTCTCCCTTTGAGACAACACCACGAAGGCGTTTCTCAACCACTAGGGGTAGACCTTGGGATGGTCTCCAAACCCTCACAAACTTTTTCGGGGGTAATCACAATGTTCGATTCCTCTGCGAAAGACTCCTACCGCCTAGGAGTCTCCAACCTCCAAGAGTAACAAGAACGATGGGAAAAGCTCAAGACTTGCTCAAATCACGAATTCCTTTGGTGCAAAGAAGGGGAAGGAGTGGATCTATCACTTGATCGGACAACTTCTCTCAAATGCTCTCAAATCCCTTGGGGATCTAGGATATGGTGTGCAGGAGTGAGAGAGAGAGAGTGAAATGTTCTTAGCAAGTTCAAAGTGAATGGTCAACCTTATCCCGTGGGGGGAAGAAGGCTATATATAGTGGAAGTGGAAAAGTAACCGTTTGAGCCACTTAAGTGCACTATAGAGGTCGTACGTCCGGATAGGACCGGACGTCCAGTGGCACAGATAGGTCTGGACGTCCGACAGCCATCGGTCATCCGGTCGCTGGAAATCCATAGGCCACGAATCAGCACACAGCCATCGGATGTCCGAAACGTGCCGGTCGTCCGGTGTCCGGACGTCCGGAGATGACCGAAAATCTGTAAATAATGTTCTGCTGAGAAAGTGTCGGACCTCCGGAGGAAAACGATGACCGGACGTCCAGAGAAGCTCAGATATCCGCAAATATCGTATTGTGAAGAAACACCGGACGTCTGTGGAGAGCCGGAAGTCCGGTCATCTATGAGGGATCAGATGTCCGTAGAGTACCTGACGTGTGGTGAAAGATGGAGTTGGTGGGTTTTGAGAAAATCTTTCACTAGATCCAACGATCCCTCTTAATAGTGCGGGCTCCCTATACTCAAGAAACAAAGCCGCAAATAAGAAAGAAAAGAAAAAAGCCAGAGCTATTTTCTTGCATCTCTGATCTTGAATAATATGCATTTGTCCCTAGTTATGATCCGCACACGTCCTTGAGACTTAATCCTGAGATGTACTTGATAAACATGATTAGTCCCTTATATGCATGTTGCCATCAACATCAAAATAAGATTAAGGGCATGATTGCACTTTCAATCTCCCCCTTTTTGGTAGTTGATGACAACATACATGCACTTCTCAATAATATATATATATATATATATATATAAACTTTGAATATCGAAAGGATTTGTTGCGGAGCTCCCCCTAACTATGTCCACAATTACAAATAAGCATGAGAGGAGCTCCCCCTCAGTGTGATACCAAAACACCCAAATCTCAAGTAACACATGATACCATAATACCATAAATAGGTTCATCACTCACATCATAGAACATAAAGCAACAATAGTCATAACAAGGTTCATGGTACAATCAGTGGCGAAGCCACGTTTTGGTTGTGTGGTCACTTGACTACACATGAATTTCACAGGTCAAGTACTCCCATGTATGGGTACTGAGCTGCTGAATAAACAATTTCTAAAAATTCCTAAACAGGCCAACTCGTCATCTGTGTTGGGTAACTTTTGGCTGGAAAAAAAGCAAATTTGCAATGGAAGTCCTAATAACTATAGAAATAGCATTAGATATTGGTCTAAATATATGAAATTTTGAGGAAATACACACTTATGTGGGATACTTGAGGACATGCAATAGTACCGAAGTCTATTCTCCATTTGTACCAGTCTCTTGCTTCTTTTTGACTCCGCAATCGCCAAGAGTTAAATCTAAAAATCATCAGCTCTTATATAAATCATGTATTTTCTTTCTCAAGATGTTGAGCCTCTAGTTACATCTGTATTCGTTTAATCTATTCCATGAGCATTGTCTCCGAAGGTCAGATGTTCTACGCTTGCCCATCTACTCTAGTTGTCTTGTTCGAACATTTTTTCACATTCAGTTTTATTGTGTCTTTTTTTAATTCAAACGCCATTTCATATATCTCAAATCTATGTATCAGCAAAAAAAACATGAACATGGTCAAAGATAATAAGCTATGACGATAGTACTTGCAAATGTATACTTTTTTCGAAAATACATTTATAATTAAAATATTAAAATAGCTCAAAAATAATGCATTGAAAGAAACATTGATAATAAATTTGAAATACTAACTATCTTTAAAAAGGAATTACAATCCTTTGTGTTCCTATTTAATTTGTCTAATAAAATTCGCTAGTACAAAACCTGACATCACAAGGTTTTGATCCTGGCACCGCCACTGGGTACAATACATAACATAGTTCGATACAAGCTAATATCACATATTACAGTACTAAGAGGATAAGTGCTTACTCCCCCTTGGCATCAAGTACCCAAAAAGGGGCCAAGAGGAGCGAACAGAACAGTATCATCATCATCAGAAACCCATCATCATCATGGTCATCATGAGCACCACTGCCACCAGCCTCGCCAAAGAAATTAGACCACTCAGGACCCGAAGGAAAACCAAAGTCAGAAGAGGGAGCATCAAGAAGACGGTCATCATCACTCACATCAAAAACTCTAGAGTCTCTCAGACGAGCCTTCAGAGCATTCTTGGAGGTGATCAGGCGAGTGACAACATCGTGATTTTGGGAGCAGTTAAAGGTAACAGCCTTCATCAAGACAGAGTGAGTCTTCCCAAGAAAGCGAGCAATGCGACCAAATGGTGCAGATCCGGAGGGAGCAGTAGGAGCAGAACGAGGAATGCTAGCAGCAGTGCGGCACGGATGAGCAGAAGAGGAAGAGTCCTTGGGAACATAATGATCCACCATGTGTGCAGGAATGATCCATCGCTCATGCAAATGAGTGCGGACAATAGGGAACGGAGCCACACTCTCGATGAATGCCTGAAGAAAGGGAGCATGAGGAAAGGCCCGCTTGTGCCGGAGAGAAGCGAGGTGAATTTCATGCCACAGAAAATGAGGGACATTGATCTTCCCTTTGGGAGCCGCATATAGGCGATGCATGAGATCGATGCAGTAGCTACTGCAAGAGCCCTTGTCACCCATCTTAGGATAAATGGTGCGAATGACACATTGATAGATAATGAAGAAAGGAGAGCGCCAAATGGAGACTTGGTTAAGGCCCTTCTGTTTCTCCTCATCAGTCATATCTTCTATGGGTTTGAGAAGATCAGCACATTCATCAATGCCCTTGGGCCTATGTTCGGGGTCATCTTTGTGAATTTTGAACCCGATGTCAGGAAAACCAAGGGCAGCAACAAATTGCGAATAAGAAGTCGTGAGCTTTGTGTCTAAGGTCATCCGAGTAACAGTGTTATTGGACCGAAGAAACATGTGGCATAGAATTGATGAATGAAGGCTTGGTTAAAGTCATGCTGAAATGCAAATGGAGCAGCAAGATTGGACGACTCAATGAGCTCAATAGCCCCGAAATATTTCTCTGGATGAGTACGAATATGCTTTAAATCAATGCACACATGCACAGAA